AGTTAAACTGCAGGAATGTCTTAAAGACATAAAGACCTGGATGGTCTACAGACGCAGCCTTTGGGGAGTGACTGCAGCACCCGACCAGCCGAAGAACTTCCTCACTCACGTTAAAGTCTTTATGCGCCTATAAAACGATCAGAGGAACTGTGTGGTCACATGATGCTGAAGCTTCCTGTCCGTGACGCTGCCTCATTTTCAAACTGAATTAACTCCAAAATCCACAATATGAAGACCAGCTCATTACCCCCACGTGCCACACTCGCCCTCACATAACCAGGAAGTTACCACAAATGCGCTCTTTGTCTCTCTGCAGGTCTGCTGTCGGCGGTGGACCTGGTGGAGGTGAACCCTCTGAGGGGCCAGACTGAGGAGGACGTCCGCTCCACCGTCAGCACCGCCATCGATCTGCTGCTCGGCTGCTTCGGACGCGTCCGCGAGGGAAATCACCTGCCAGATTACCGCCTCCCCAAGCCTTAACGCAGGCCTCTCTGACCGTGCCGCACGACACCAGCCCAAAGGGCCAATCGGAGTTCTCCCTGCAAAACTACAAGCCCACAATTCCTGCTGTTTTCTGCCTTGAACCAAAGATGTTGTCTTCCTGTGGGTGGGGTAGTCCATCGCTGATCAGCTGATCGATCGTTTTGTTTTTGATTATTAAATTTATACGTTTGAAGAGTGTTTGTTTCTTTTTTTTTTAAACACGATAAATGGTCGCCATCTTTAAAACGCAGCAGCACGCTGCTGAGGCAACGCTGCCGCCAGAGAATAACGACAGACGCCATTTTCTTACTTCTCCTGGGTTGCAGCAGCATTTTATTCTGATAAGAAACGTGTCTTACATCAGGTCACTGCACAGGACATCATCCAACACACAACAGACACACACAAACAGGAGTGAGGGTTGTCACGGAAACGGCGTGGAGCAGAAATTAGTAACTGTGCTCAGATATAAGCTAACAGGGTTAAAGAGGAGGCGGCGTGCTTTGCTTATCTGGAGTTTGACCTGCAGCATCTGAACGACCTTAAACCACCTCGAACGCTCACGCTATTGGTGGAAACGGGGGTGTAACCATGACGACGGGTGGACAGCGCAGAAAAATCCACTTGGACTGAATTTGTAGATCAAAGAGCCTCAGGTGTTCTGCTTTTCAGAATAAAAGCATGGCAGCTGAAGCGTGGAAGTTTCCAAAATAAAACCCACTTTGTCACGGCTGAGGTAACATGAATCAGATCAGGAGCTCGCGACACGTTTCAGACTTCAAAAAGAAACAGGAAACAGAAAAAAAACGTGCAAACATTTAAAACTTTTAAAAGAGGAATTTTTAAAACGCAGATGAAAAACAGTGAAGAGGCGTTCACACGAATCCTGTCAGAAATCAATAAATACGCAGCTCAGTTTCAGCTATGATTGTCTCACAGAACCACACGATCGATCGTCAGTTCAGATTCGATCGGTTCTTGCTTCTGGTTGGTTCCCGTGATGACGAGAGTAATCTGATTCCTCGCCGTCTTTGTAACAGTCATGAAGGTCAGGGAGTGACACGGGTGACGGAGCGTTTCTCGGTCTGTAGTGTCTGGCTCATCGGAAGAACAAGGAACGCTGAAACGGACGGGCGTCGGTTTAGAGTTTACCATTTAGAGCTTGTGTTAGCGACCTCGGGCCAAACTCCATTCAAAATTTGTCACATTTAGCGCTCCTTCGTTCCACTCGCTGGTTTAATCGGCAGAACCGTCGATGGAACAGAATTAAATCAATCAGATTTTCTGCTTTTAAGTCAAAGCTCACGAGATTTCAAACATTCTGGATCCAAAAAAACCCCAAAAACTTTATTCGTCTTTAAACGAACCTCTTGTGCAGCGTTCTTTGTTCTCGAGAAGCTTTAGCTCTCAGGCTGAACACCTGGACAGGTACGGACGTCTGAACGTCAGCGTGATTCTCGTTAAAGGAGAAACGAGTCAAACACACACACACACACACACACAC